CTAGTAAATATAATTAAGTTAAGCAATTGGCCACTGTTTGAATTAGTTTATTTGCTAAGGATTAGGGTAGTGAACACAAACTTAATCACTTGAATCGGTAACCAACGAAAGAATTAATCCATTGCACTATTACCTTAAAATCAACCATAAAGTTAACCGAGTTGAACTAAACAGAAGTTTCTTTCCCATTATTGAATCTAGTTAATTTGTTCTTTTCTAGTCTTGAATTAGTTTAGCTAGTAAGTTTCTAGTCTTGTAAAACTAGAGAAAAAACCCTTATTTGCTTAATCAACTTAGATAGAATTAGTTTTTAATTTAATTTGTCGTTCCCTGTGTTCGATACCCTGCTTATTTAGCTATACCACAATTGATAGGTTCACTGCCTTTTGTGTGTTATTTGATAATTAAAGTAGGATTAAAACTAAGTGAGTTTTACACACATCAGTTACGGCATCCCTTTCCATAATTTGAATTGTGAGGTTTGGCAATTAGTCTTAATTGTTAAGACACACATATGAACTATCTAAGGCAAAAGTGTATAAGTTCAAGAAGCCTTGATAAAAGATTATCAAAGCACTAAGTATTAGAAACATGAACTTAAGAAATTCAATAAGTATTGTTTTCTGAAAGTTAAGATGTTTATGAATACATGTCGAAGCTAGTGGGAGCATAAGTGTTATATTTTATAATAATCATCATGATAGTGGGAGCATAAATGTTATGATTGTATGATTATTAAGACACGTATTGCAAAGTTAGCAATATTAATTATAGAAACCAAGAGTTAAACCTTGCAACGTAGTAAGGGTTATAAAGTTGTTTTGCTATAATTAAGGGAGAGAATATTATGCTTCATTTCAAATCTAAAGGATTAGGTTGTGGAATGTTAATAAATTTATTCAAGGGTATATAGTGTGTTCTTAAAATTTCGATTATGATTACGGCATTCCTCTTCACAATTCGAATTTTGAGAACATAGCAAATAAAACATTGTGCATCGTGTCCCATACGCTTCGGGTATAGGATGGATTGCAAATGCTTTAATGTTTGACCATTCTAAAATTTCCCAAATGTCTGGTGCATTTAGAGGGAAAAGGGACTAGAATCGGTTTTGACTAAAATAATTAAACAACTATCAAAGGACAATCCAAAGTTCGACGAGGATTGGTTGCTTGTGAGTAGTTGGAAGTATAGTATTGGAAATTATGGAAATGTTTCCATATTGGATGGACAATATCGACATCATTACGAATAGATAAGATTCTATTAAGAATGAGTTGTCATATGGAAAATATGGAAGCGTGTCCATATTGGGAAGTAAATACTTAAAATCTATGACTAGATTAGAAACCTTTATGCAAAAGGATGTTCAAAGGAATGTACTTTGAGTGAGAGACATCGTATCTAAGGAATTGTCTTGTAACAATCTCCGTTAGAGGACTTTGTAATATCATTGGCAATAGTCTTGGAGACTTTGGTGCAGTGACATTACAAAAGGATCGTTGCATAAAGTATTAGAATCTAGTATATTGTATAAGTAACAAGAATTTGATATTCTTACACTTAAGAAAATGGATTTGGAGTTGTAAAATGAGAATGATTGGAAATGTGTTCAATTTGTCTATTTCACAAAAGTAAGAACCATAGGTAAACATTGTGTACATGTTAGGATCATGGGACAAGTGTTGGAATTCAAGTAAGAAGTTGATTACCCGAAACGACAAATAATGAGTAATCAATATGGTGATAAATAAAATGCGTTTTATTTATACTCAAAGGTTTGAGGCCATATGGGATTAGTATTATTCTTGTGTTTCACATTTGCATGTTTTGACTTCCAGAATAATTGAGTTTATTAAGAATAATCGAATTATTCAAACGGTCCACAGTCGTTCATATGTTGGAAGTAGATATGAATGAAGATTGTCGTGAATTGGTGTGTGGATTGTCTAAAAGAGTATTAGACATAAGCAAATGTTTGCTGCAACGTTCATGAGTGCTTATGAATATGATTTGAGCATTGGATTAAACCCACGCTCACTTGGATCACTATCTCGAGTGATTAGTGAGACGATAACATCTTATATTCTTGAAACCGAGATGTGTGAGTTGTATCTTGCTGATCGGTTGCACATTGATAATATGTAAACGCACCAGTAACTTGGTGTTATAAAACATATTGTTGTGTGTAATTCGGTGAGTGAGTGCAAGCGAGCATTGTATTAAAGTTTATCCGTTCCTTTTATCCAAAGTAGGATAAAAGCGATATCTTTGGGCCCCTCGATGGTTTAGTGATGACATACGTAAATGCTCGGCCGGGTTAGGGCTAATTTGATTTGTTCAGTTAGTCTGTCGTCATAAATTGGAAATCGAGATATAGTACAAAGAGAATGATTAGAAATCATATCTCATACGATATCTAGAATGGAGGAATATATGATCCCTTATCTAAGGACACGCGTATCTGATATGATCAGAGTTGACAGCGGCTTTGGAAAGCTACGATTGCAGATCAGGATCTGAAGTCATACGCAGAATAGTTGTTAGACTTATCCAAGTGGGAGACTGTTGGATTAGTGTCTAAGTCCATAACTATTTTGGTATGTACTTGACGCGATGGTGCATGGTCCTTTTGGGTTGCCTTCACCAAAGCAACTTGATTGGAGAAATGAATAAAGAGAGAGAGAGGATAATATGATTTATTAATATGTTATAAGAATAATATATTAAAGGAGAAATCATATTTGTTTAATTAATATTGGTCAATAATTAATTAAGAATTAGTTTTGTGATCAAATGTAATTAATTAAACTAAAGGGGCTGATTTGTAATTATGTGATAGTTACAAAATAAGGTAAGGATTATCTTATTTATATGGTGGACGAATTTAAGGTTGGAAAGCCTTAGAATTCGAGTATGATAAGGATTCAAGGATTATCTTATTGGTTGCTTAATGGATAATCAACTAGATAAGGATAATGACTGAAACCCTATCTCTACACCTATATAAACACCCCTAGGGTCATGAATTCGTGGATCCTTTCCCAAGAGGTCCTAGATACGAATTCTAACCTCTCACCTCTCTCTTTATACCTTCTCCATTTGCTTATGGTGTTTGTGAGCCATTAGAGGAGTGACACTTGTGACTCTAAGCATTCCAAAGTCAATTCAAGGTGGAATTGGGATTGTTATTGCTACATAACAATCAAGGTATGTTCTTAAACCTAATTACATATTAATATGATTACTTGTATGCTAGAATTAGGGTTTATAGTCTTGGATTCAAAGCATGTACAATAGAGAAACCTAGATCCTAGCATTAGGGTTTGTATGAGCACATAGGATGTCTTATGACCAAAACCCATCACTAATAGCATGAGGGATCACGTGTGGTTGTCGAGGTACCAAACAAACTACCGTTTGGAAAACTCTCTAGAATCCATATATGAAAGAACCATGTATCAAAATATTAACAAATAGAAAACGTTAAATGGATAATCATGTAGTTTACCTTAACAACGTATGAAAATCTGCTTAGGTTATACGTCAATTTTTGAGGTTGTATTTCTTTTTCTTTCTTAGAATAAACAAGCGTATAAAGCTTATTGAATATCGTCTCTAATTGAGACTACAATTGATCTCATATTACCCTCCCTCATAGATATCTGCAACACCAAAAAAAATACACAATCAATTATGTAAATAACATTACTACAATATTTATAATTTAACGTCACAATACCTAAAACCAAACCGAAAAACTCCTCATTTATAGGTTGACGAGGTAACCAATCATTGGACCGCTTCTCCAACATATATATATATATATATATATATATATATATATATATATATATATATATATATATATATATATATATATATAATATAATATAATGACTCGGACCACATCATCCTCCGATAACTCATGAAAAGATGTGTCAAAGACATCAATAACATATTTCACTTTTACCGATTCAGTTGCATTGACCCTAGGAAACACACGCAATCAAAAGATGTTACCGGAGATGTTACCGGAATCCGAGGCTGCAAAATATTCACCGAATTGGAAGCTGGTGACAAGGCAAAATTCCCTCTTCCTAAACGTCAACTCCTATTCGTCGATCTCAAAAAAAACATTTCCTATACTGGGCTTGGAGGGAACATCACAACTTCTTTGCAGAAAAGGTAATGTAAAAGCAAATGATCCCCTTCTATCTCGACATAAATATCTAACCACCTACCAAAATACGTTTTTCAGAACACAGTCTCGCATGGAAGTCGGGCCCTTAGTTTAGTAAGAACATCTGCAGCAATTGCAGGTTTGCAATATATTGTAAGAGAATCATAAAAAATGTTGTCATGCTGCAATATATATATATATATATATATATATATATATATATATATATATATATATATATATATATATATATATATAATATGAAAAAATAATATCAAAATACTTATGGAATGTATTTCGATGTAGTTCATCGCATTCCGGACATGTTCTATGTGTTCCAGAATGCTTTCCGGACTACATATTTTCAATTTGGAATAACGTAAGGTACTAAAAAACTACCTAATTTTGGGACATTCAAAGTTTAAAAGTATCATTACGGAGTTGCTCATGTAAATTCTCAAAGTCTTCAAAATGAGATGACATATTTTTTTTGGTCTCTTAGCATGAAATATGATGATATTTTGGAATGCATTCTAGAATAATCTTTATAATAATTTGTATCCGGAACCCAATAGGAATGGACCGAGACTAATGAATTCGGAACGAAATTAGAAATATTCCATTCCAAACAAGATGATTAGTTTAAAAAAAAAACCTACCATGTCATTAAAAAACAATATAAAAATAAATAAATTACTCAATTTTCCAATATTATATTCTGTATAGTTATTTTTTTATTAAAATATGAAAAACATATTTCTTTGATAAGTGTGCGATAAATAAACAAATTGATGGTGAAAAAGTCATATTTTTGTGTATTTTTTGATACTTAGTTGAAGATTCCCTCATTCCTTGTTTGTTTTTAGCTTCCTTCTCACTGTAATTTCTAGTCTAATGGAGCTCCAAAGCCCAACATATTAGGGCAAAAAAGAAGAAGGAATAAAGAAAGGAAATGGTTATGGTGTGAAACACACACAAAACGCTTTCCTTCTCCCATCATTCCTGGTTTTCAATACCAACTTGAATTGCCGTACGGCAAAATTACAGTGAAAGCGAAGCAAAAAGACAAAGAAGATAGTGATTTTTGCAAGGAAATGTTTGAAAGTTATGCAGAAGCTGCTGCGTCTAACCCCTTGTTCTGCGGCCCCCATCCTCAGCCCTTTATCCACTATATTACCCCATCATGTTTCCCTTATCCCTCTAGGGTTTAAGCAAAATAGCCACAAACGCACCTTACATTCCCTAAGGTTTAAGCAACACAGTCCCTTTTCACTTCCCTTCTCAATGCCGCCGGCTGCCACCGCTTTACAGTTACGTAGTTCCGGTATGCCTCCCTCTCTTAGTGGTCTGAACCCCATGATTTCCATGTGTAATTATACCACGTCTTCGAGTTCCCCCCGTTACGCCTTGAGCTCTGGCAATAGGTGTCGAATTTGCCGGTGCTCCATCGAGAGTGCTATAGCTGTTCCTGATAGAGCATGGGTTGTACTTAAGGAGAGTCGTAGTGGGTCTCGTTTGTCTTGGTTTCGTACCTCTTCTACCTCATCCGATATGGGGTTTCCGATTTCTGCTATGAATAGTGAAGACGACGGTGGTGGTGGCGGTGGCGGTGAGACTGAGAAAGGATTGTCGGCTTCGGAGGTGAAGCCCGCGAGATTAAACAGGAGGCAGAGGAGTTCTTTGGGTGGTAGCTGTAGTCCTCCTCCATTACTCCCCGGAAATCCAGATTTGTTGAGAATTCCAGGCGTGGGACCGAGGAACTTGAGGAAGCTCGTGGAGAATGGCATTGCTGGTGTTGCTGAGCTCAAGAAAATCTACAAGGACAAGGTATTTCCCTCAAATTGATGTTTTTGGATTGCTTTAAATTTGTTGTACTTGCATTGAGATTGATGATTAAATTTAGAACTTTTGAATGGAGTTTTTATGTTGGTTTTGTAACAGTTTTATGGAAAATCGAATCAGAAGATGGTCGAGTTTTTACAATCCTCTGTGGGCATTATACATAGAAACCATGCTGAGAGCATAACCACCTTCATCAAAGAGAGCGTGAATGAAGAAATGAAAGATGGTGGTGCCAATTCTGATGCCATTCCAGCCCAAAAGAAGCGACTTACTTTCTGTGTAGAAGGAAATATAAGTGTGGGGAAGACGACTTTCTTGAAGAGAATTGCTAATGAGACTCTTGAGCTTCAGGATCTTGTTGAGATTGTTCCTGAACCTATTGATAAATGGCAGGATATTGGACCTGATCATTTTAACATTTTAGATGCCTTTTATTCTGAGCCACAAAGGTATGCTTACACCTTCCAAAATTATGTCTTTGTTACAAGAGTTATGCAGGAGAAAGAATCATCTGGTGGAATTAAGCCTCTCAGGTTGATGGAAAGAAGTGTTTTCAGCGATAGAATGGTACAAACTATGCCATTTGTTCTATAAATTCTCTTTTTTTAATAGGGTTAAATTAATGTACTTTCATTGATATGTTTATTATACTTCCATTGATATCTTTATTATATCATAGCATACTACCTTCATTTCTTCCTATTACAATATTGTACTTGAAAAATCCACCCATTTATATCAACGTTATCCAGATTTAAAGCAATTTTCACTGCTATAATTGGGTTGATTTTTCAAAGGGTAACATTTTGTCCACCTAAAAGGTGGAACAATGTGGGAACTGATACTGATACTGATACTGATACTGATGGTTGTGTACTTGATGAAGGTGTTTGTGAGAGCTGTTCATGAAGCAAACTGGATGAATGAGATGGAAATCAGCATTTATGATTCATGGTTTGATCCAGTTGTTTCATCTCTGCCTGGACTTATTCCAGATGGATTCATCTATCTGAGAGCAAGCCCTGATACCTGCCACAAACGAATGATGCTACGCAAGAGGGAAGAAGAAGGTGGAGTAAGCCTTGATTATCTTCGTGGTCTGCATGAAAAACATGAGAGCTGGCTGTTACCATTTCAAACCGGAAACCATGGTGTTTTATCTGTCACCAAGCTCCCCCCTCACATGGATGCCTCCTTGCATCCTGGTATAAAAGATCAGGTTTTCTATTTGGAAGGCAATCATATGCACTCAAGCATTCAAAAGGTAAAACAAAAGAAACAACCATATCACCTTAATTAACTCTCTTACTTAGTTTGTTTGTTAGTTGCTAATTGAATTTTTGTTTGTTTGTTTATGTGTGTATGTAACAAACAGGTCCCTGCTTTGGTTCTTGATTGTGAACCCAACATTGATTTTTCAAAGGATATTGAAGCTAAGCAGCAGTAAGCTATTTTTTGATTACATTTTATAATATTAAATTCTAATTTTTAGATAATCTATTTTTCGAAGGTATGCTCGTCAAGTTGCAGACTTCTTTGAATTTGTGAAGAAAGCGAAAGAAGTTCCAGAAAATGGGTCATCCCAATCACAGGTGCTATCACCTCCTAGTGGTGGGTTGTGGGTCCCACCACAGGTACAGGGGAAGAATTTTCCTGAGTCTCTAAAATCATTGGACTTGAGAAAGGCCATGTCTCTCATGTCTAGGACTGGCTCTACTTGATAGTTGGCTTATTGCTTGTAAAAAGAAAAAATATCTTCTTACCTCCCTCTCTCTCTCTCTCTCTCTCTCTCTCTCTCTCTCTCTCTCTCTCTCCTTGTTCATGTAGTTTCATCAAATTGTGGATTATAACTTTGTTTAGGATGATGGTAGTAGGGTTTTGTCATAAAATTTGTGAAAAAGTCTTTTTGTAGTAGGAAATGTTAATTGGTATGCAAGATCCATGTAAACGTGTTTGTAGATATGCTTTTTGGGGAAAATATTTCCTAACTTCGTCTTTTGTATATATATGTTTGCATGCAAGATCAATTTAAATTCTAGCAAGGAGGTGAGAATGGAATATATGAGGGAGAGAGTATTATGGATGGAGATGATTTAAATAAGATGGGCATTAGAGATCATCTTTCTTAACAAGCGAGACTTTACATCATCTCTGTCTTTATAAGCCTACTATTGCACTTGAACAAGGACATCTCGTAATCGTGGATTTTAGTGGAATATTTAAACAACAATATAGTAAACAAGTAGGTGCTTGGATCTCTTCCTATCCCCCACCTATTGATTAAAAAAAAAAAACAATCCTAGGGAGGATGTCGTAACAGCCAATTTGATAATGGCTTAAGCTTGTATGTGGGGTGGGGGAGGCGAGGGGATTAATTTTAGTGTCTCTTCCACCACCATCTTCATGTTCAAGCATGTATTTTTATTTAGGAACATTGTGGTACACCTGAAAAGGTTGTTTAAAAAAGCAGTAACGGGAGGTAGGCATATATTAAGAACTATATAGAAAAATCACTCAAAGATCAGTCATGGGAAGTGATGCTTGATCAAACCACCAAAATAATGAATGGATCGTTTGGGTGATTCTTTACCATGGTTAGGTTTAAGACTGAAAGCAATAGCTTGGGGGGGGGGGGGCAATTTGTGGATCTTGATTGAGCTTGAGTTTAATCTATTTATTAATTAGATATATAAGTTTTATTTCAATCTATTTATTAATTGAGTTATGTTTAACATAACCTAACTTGTTTATTTAGGATATGTTTGTAATTGCTTATTTAAGGTTTTTATCTATTTATTGTAGTTTGACACTGATAATAAACAAATTTTAATGTTTTGACAGACTAAAATTAAAAGTTTTTATTTAGTCAAATAAAGAGTTTTTGATAAATTAGTGGCTATTAACTTATAAAAAAACTACTTATGAATTATTTAAACAAATTTACCATATTAACCTTATTTTAAATATATGTCTATATATTTGGCTTCAATTGGCTATTTTATATTTATAAGCAAAAATTATCAAACACTTAAAAAGAACTATCAATTTATTATGTTTTTATAACGGATAAGCTAAATAAAACATTTTTTTTTTAAATTTGTTTTAACACCGAAAAAGCTAATAAACACTTTTACAAATAAGCATAAATTATTTTAAATAAATAATCTCAAACACCACCCTTAAATAAATTGATATTTCCACCCTAACCTAATATTTCAGATAAATAGGTTGTCATTGGTTGATTTATTTATATACTTTCCAACCCAACATATTCAAGAAATGAGTTAAACGTGATTTAACCCATTTAAATTAAAAAAAAAATAATTAAATATTACACCACTTAAATTAGTTCCAAATTGAAATAAAATTTCTCAAATATGAAAAGAACAATCCTAATTCACAAATACAAATAAATTTTCAATTAACAATAAAAAATAGTTAATTTCAAATTGATTTTAGAGAATGATTAATGTTATCGACATGAAGAAAATAGATGTGATTTAGGATTGCATTTTTTAAAACATAAATAATAATATAACAATATAATTTATAAATTAATACTTAGATTAATACAGGATAACATTTAATCTATCTGTTAATTAGATATATAAGTTTTATTTCAATCTATTTATTAATCAAGTTATCGAGTTATGTTTAACATAACCTAACTTGTTTATTTAGGATATTTTTGTAATTGCTTATTTAAGGTTTTTATTTGTTTATTGCAGTTTGACACTGATAATAAATAAATTTTAATGTTTGGACCGACTAAAATTAAAAGTTTTTATTTATTCAAATAAAGAGCTTTTGATAAGTTAGTGGATATTAACTTATAAAAAACAGCTTATGAATTATTTAAACAAATTTACCATATTAACCTTATTTTAAATATATGTTTATATATTTGGCCTCAATTGGCCATTTTATATTTATAAGCAAAAATTACCAAACACTTAAAAAGAACTATCGATTTATTATGTTTTCATAACGGATAAGCTAAATAAAACATTTTTCTTTTAAATCTGTTTTAACATCGAAAAAGCTAATAAACACTTTTACAAATAAGCATAAACTATTTTAAATGAATAATCTCAAACACCACCCTTAAATAAATTGATATTTCCACCCTAACCTAATATTTCATATAAATTAGGCGTCATTGGTTGATCTATTTATATACTTTCCAACCCAACATATTAAAGAAATGAGTTAAACTTGACTTAACCTATTTAAATTTAAAAAAAAAAATTAACCAAATATTACACCACTTAAATTAGTTCCAAATTAAAATAAAATTTCTCAAATATGAAAAGAACAATCCTAATTCACAAATACAAATAAAATTTCAATTAACAATAAAAAATATTTAATTTCAAATTGATTTTAGAGAATGATTAGTGTTATTGACATGAAGAAAATAGATGTGATTTACGATTGCATTTCTTAAAACATAAATAATAATATAACATCATAATTTATAAATGAATACTTAGATTAATACAAGATAACGTTTAAAAATTACTAAATTTAAAATATATTAAAATTAATTGGGTTAACGAGTTGTTAATTTTTACCCAACCTACTATATTTAACTAAATAGATTAGATGAGTTGACTCATTTAACTTAAATGAATTGAAAATTTCAACCCAACCTGCTAATTTTGGGTTGAGTTCGGATTGAGTTGATGGTTGTGTTGGAAATAGAAGTTTTTTATATTCAATATTATTATTTATATGTTTAGGTATTGTTTTGTCATTAATATTGTTTACAGGGTTAATTGTGTCAACTGGTAATAATTTAATTGATACTAGTATTGAAATATATGTTGTTATGAGGGATTGCATGTGTATCTTTGTGTTTCTATTGGGCTGCTGCTCATTTTCTTTATTCTTAACAAGTAAAACATGTGGATCTTTTGACCCATGGATAGTAAATATAACACGGATATATATTGTTCGAAGGTAGTTGCTGTTCGTACTTCATTCATATTCTTACACACTCACACACTTTGTATTTCTCTCCCGTTTCTTCATATTTAGAGATTAGGGTTTCGTTCTTATACGTTATTCTTAGTTCTTTGTTCATAATCTTGTGAAAGTTTTGTATTGAGAGAAGAGTTAGGAGATTTGTTGTGAGTATCAAGTTGTATGAGTCATGTATAACGAACTGGTTTTTCATTTATAAGGAAACTATTGAAGTTGGGAAAATTATATTTGTGTGAATTAACAATTAATTTTTTTATCATGGTATCAGAGCAGAGGTAGCTCGGAGTATTGTTTACTGATTGAAGAGTGTCATTTGCAGTCATCGTTTTTTTTAACAAAGGTTAGAGTATATTTTTCTTCTATTCTTTCGTATTTTTCCTTTTATTGATTAACCTTGTAGATTTGATATTACCAGTGTTAAATCTAGGGTTTCTGCTTGATTCCTTGTAGATCTATGCCTGTTGTGTAACCTCCGACTATAAGTACAGGTTTTATATTTCTAATTTGTGTATTTTTGGTGGGCACGATGTGGTAGAAGAGCTACCACAACTTGGCGAAGTTGACTTTGACCGTTAGCTTTTTGACATGGTTGACTTTTTGTCAAATTGCTAGTTTTAGAAAGTCAACTAAGGTTTGACTTTGAAAGTTTTGATAAGTGGGTTGTATCATATGTTTCATGACTTTTTGAGCTGTGCAAATATACGAGTGTGAGGTGAGTTTTCACACTATATTATGTAATATGCTAATTATGTATGATGGGCGGGGACCAATATGTGAGCTGGATAGGGCCAATTATGCTAATTTGGGTGGGAGGCCCTTATGTTTTGAGCTGGGCATGTATGGTCATGTGGTATTTTGGGGAAGTTACTAAGCTTTGTGCTAACGGTTTTATGTTTAAATGTTTTAAGTACTTCTAATTTCAAAAGGAAATGCCAGACCTGATCGTACTGCATCCTCTAGACTTTTATTTCCGCATTATTAATTTATAATTTTGACTCAGATGTTGAGAATACATTATACTCTAATTGTCTTTTGAACAAATGATTGAATGGTTTTGCTGGTTGAAACATGCAAATTTTACTTAGTATATTTGGGACGTTCCAGATGTTTGATTAAGGTGTCTAAGCTTATAACTAAATTGGTATAAACTTGTAATTAGAAGCAAAAAATTTTTTAGGTTTCCCTCGTAACTAGAAACCGATTATAATGATATATGTAGAGAGAGGAAATAATTTAGTAGTTTATTATACGATTAATAAATTAATTAGAAATAGATTAAGTTAATTAATAACTGATCATAATTAATTTGAGATCAATTGAAATTAATTAGAAGTAGAAAGGTTGCTTGGTAATTGCTTAATGTTGAGCAAAATAGAGATTCTAGAAACCTCCATAGCTTGGACATTTTTGGATGCCTTGGAGGGCAATCTAAAATGCTCTAATTAATAAAAGGAAAGTACATAATTACAAAGATTTGAAATAATATTATTTTATGTTCATATCTAGAGTTTTTAGGTTTCCTGGCATCTATATAAAAGGGCGTAGGGCTTGCATTTTTTGCCTACTATTCTAAGAGATACCCTAGCCAAAAATTTGCCTCCCCTCTCCTCTATCCTCTTTTGTTTTCTGTTATCTAGATTTGGATGTGAGCCGTTAGATACGTTATTATTTGGTGCTAGCTTTCTAAAGATCTACAAAGGAAGGGATCAAAGGAATTATTTGAAATAACAGTTTCCAAATATGTGTAACCCTAAGCCTACGAATTTCGATTATAGTTGGTTTCTTCTAGGGTTTGTAGTTAATAGTATGTTGTATTTAATGTGAAGACATAGATACTTATAGTTTGCATGTATCCTTGATTGTCAAGTGTTA